GCACCTCATGTTTGCGGTATACCATCTTTTCCGCAAGTTTATTGTTTTCTGTTTGGTAATAATTTGATAATAAGATCTGTTTTGTTACATCTTGTGATCCGTTTATTTGGCAATCGCCAATGGCAGTCAGCAGGGTTTAAGAACATCAGTTGTTCGACCTGCTAGTCAAATGCGTTTTGTTAAATATACTTTTTCACTCATTTGGTCTTTTGGAAAATGTTGTTTGTGCTGTATTTAGACCCCTCTACCAAGAAATTTGTTTTGCATGCACACGTATAAAAATTGCGGTTTTTATCCAACGCAATCATAGGTTTGAACGTTGTTTTCAATTAAGACTTGTATATATATATTATATATGTCAAACGAGAGAAATTTAGTTGAAATGTATGATATGGTTGTGGATTATATCATAAGTATCCAAAACTGAACAGATATTGGTACTTCTCATAGATGTGATAAAACCACAGCTATAAATGCATCAGATATCTGTCAATCTATTCAGGTGTCAGACCACCAATTCAAATTCCTGATCTATTCATCCAAATTTTGCAATTTTCACAGCTTTCTAAATAACTTACCTCAAGTTAAACTTCATAGAAACCAGGTAGGTATATCCTGAATTGTACATGTATCACCTTTCCACATGCCAATTTTCAACCAATGTTTAAAGTTTTGTAGCGAAATATTACCGTTCGGATGTAAAGTTCTTCTAAAAATAACCCCTGGTTTTTGGAAATCTTTACATAAATAAGTATAGTATGCAAACTCATGGACAAGTAAATTTTGGCTCAAAATGGTCAACATATATTTGACCTCAAAAGCACTATTTTTTTGTCAGTGAATAGCTACTTTTACATATGTTCTAAATTGAATTGGGTGAATTGGTGGTCTGACACCTAAATCTCTCTATGAAATAACATAATCACAAAAGCTATAGGTCTTTTTTTGGCAAAACAAATACATGATAGGATATATCTTTTTCAATATTCAAAAATATGAAAAGAGTGGGAAACTGAATGTCTAAGCTACTCACGTAATAACCAAAGGATTGAAATACACCCCCCCCCCCCCCCCCCCCCCCCCCCAGGCTGTCTCGATCCCTACACTTTATTAGCTTCAATCAAATGATAATATCCAGTTTAAGCTTTATATAAGTACTTATCTTAAAACTTTCTGTGATTCCTGAGTATTAACAGTTTAAACTGCTCACAGTGCTTCTAACATAATGAAAATTGAAATTTCAAATTGACAAAAAAAAATATTCTGTTGGTGGCCCAAGAAACAATATGCCTCTTACAAACAAGACTGCACACACTGAAATGTCTCCCCTGCTTTACTGATCATTGATTTTATGTTGATAGTCCTAAATATAAAGCTTTACTACAAGTATCACATAAACTTAACATGATCCAAGAAAATGAGGCCAAGGTCAGATAAACTAAACCGGAAATACATACGAATACGAATATACGAATATACGAATTCTAAGAAAAAAACTTAACCATGAAAATTTAACATTGACCAATGAACCATGAAAATGAGGTCAAGGCCAAATAAAACCTGCCAGACAGTTGACATGTACATCATAAAATATTTCAATACACCAAATATAGTTGACCTATTGCATATAGTATTAGAAAAAAAGACCAAAACACAAAAACTTAACTTTAACCAATGAACCATGAAAATGAGGTCAAGGTCAGACGAAACCTGCCAGTTGGACATGTGCACCTTACAATCATTCCATACACCAAATATAGTAGACCTATTGCTTATAGTATCTGATATATGGACTTAACCACAAAAACTTAACCTTGTTCACTGAACCATGAAATGAGGTCGAGGTCAGATGAAAACTGTCTGACAGGCATGAGGACCTTTCAAGGTACGCACATACTAAATATAGCTATCCTGTTACTCATAATAAGAGAGAAATTAACATTACAAAAAATCTTAACTTTTTTTTCAAGTACCATGAAAATGAGGTCAAGGACATATGACAGACAGAAACTTCATAATATAAGGCATCTATATACAAAGAATGAAGCATCAAGGTCTTTCACCTTCTAAAATATAAAGCTTTTAAATAGTTAGAAAACGCCGCTGCCGCCTCCAGATCACTATCCATATGTTGAGCTTTCTGCGACAGAACTCGCAGGCTCGACAATAAAATCAGATATATATATATCTTTTTTTTGGCTAATTGCAAATTATGTTCAATGGTCATAAAAAATTAAAATCCTAAATGTTATCACTGTGTTATCTTAATGTTAATATCCAGTAGAAAACATTTTAATGCTATTAACTATAAAATATAAATTGTTCAAGGACATGAAATTAAATATACAACATTTTACTGAGAATTATGTTAGGTAATAAATTTCATTTCACAATACAAGTTACATTTTTAAATAATAAAGTAATTTATACTTTATCAAGATATTCATGTTTTTAAATTACATAAAATATGTATGCAGATGTAACATCTGTTGTTTAATATGCATAAATTAAAATATTGGTACAAATATACTTATATTTAGGGGCCAAATTAAGCCTTAGCTTTACCAACTTTCCCTTTTTATCAATTAATTCTTAGGTAGAATGGTAGAGTCTGTCACATTGTCTCCCAATTCTTGACATTGACAAAGAGTTGTCTCTGATTTGTATGATTAGAAGGTTCTCACTTAAAAAATCAAAGATATCATGGATATGATTGTTGTAATCATAGAAACCTGTCTGAACTCATAATTTTTCTGAACTGGTTAGTCCAAAGATCATTTGCACCATATTCATATCAGCTGTGTCCAAGTTATCTTGCACATTCAGGACTCTCTCCTTGGTTACAGTTACTATACTGGGTCAAAGATATTTTTTTAAATATTTTATATCAATATTTGAATTGACACGGCAAAATGAGTATTTTGTTTGTCAAATCCCCTAAAATACAATGTATTCAGATCAAATAGGATAGGAGATGCACATTACATCTCGTAAAAAATTAATGTTTCATTGAAATTGGGTCATTGCTTCTGGACAAGTTGCCAATACAAAGTTCTGCAAGATGTCTACCTTTTTTTTCCGATATATATAAAATGCTTTGAAAATTGAAACCAAAGAAAACGATTTGGTTAAAAATAAAATTGTACTAAGTAGATACTTCAAATTCTGTGAGAGTTTAATTGAAATACAATCTCTCTCTTGATAAGGAATTACATAATAATATAAAGTGTGGATGAAGGAGGTAAAAAATCTAAAACTAATTCACTACCCTTATACAGCCACTGTTAGTCAAGCTGTCGGGGATAAATATCATGCAATTGATCAACCATTCAAACAGTACTACAAGAATGTGTTATTCTCTACAATCTTGTTAAAGTTGATGACAGGATCATAATTGGTAGTATACAAACATAACAATCATGCAAAACCCTAAAAATACTAGTTATGCAGTATTTAACTGTACACTACTGAAATTTTACTGTAGTTATTTTGTACCAACATTAAGCTTTATCAAACCAAGCTTATATGACTTAAAATATTTATTGGTAAATTGATATAATCATTACAAATTATAGTCATTTGATAAGGTGTCAAACATTTCGTACTGATTATCCCTATAAATATTTTTCTGCATGCAATGAATTCAAAATATTTTAAACATAGCTAATTTTCAAACATAAGAAACTTAAAATCATTAAAAAGACATTATACAACAATTTAATAATTCATTTTTCACTGAAAGAAATTTAAATATTACCATTTGACTTTAGTAAAATATAGTAAGACCCTATATATAATTTCCATGTTTTAAATTTCAAATCATTTATCAAGAATAAAATTCTGCTGACAGTTAAATAACAGTAAATTAGGTGAGAGACCAAGTTTGTTGAAATGTTATCAATTGACTAAATTCCCCGATTATTTGATCTTATTATTCCCCTTCAATAACTGTTCATATTATCTGTATTCAGACAATTGTCAAATGTTTTGTTATCATTTCAATTCTAAACATTTTAAATCAGGTTATATTCCTTACTACCGAATTCTTATTTTGTGTTTTCTTAAGCTTGTGTTTGTACATATTGTATGTACTATTGTAATGTTGATAAATGTTGAATGACAATTACGTAGTGACCTATAGTTGTTTAGATCCTCCTCTCTAGTCTCTTAGGTAGATAGTTGGGAACCTGCTACATTGGCAATCATACCACATATATATATATATCTCCTTATTTTTTTATAATGATGTTATAGTTTTAATGTAAGCCGGGAAAAAAACATAATGAATCTGTACCAAGTCAGACTATCTTGACCAATTATGCTGTGCATTGTTGTTTGTTTTTGTTTGCATGTCTGTTGTTTTTTCACAGAGGAGTCAGGTGTTTGATGGTGGTTGTTATGGTCAGTTGTACTGTTCAGTAAATTTGGAGTCAGGTGTTTGATGGTGATTACTATGGTCAGTTGTACTGACCAGTAAATTTGGTGATTCCTGCAATCCATTTCATGCTTTTTACCTGTTATGTTTTAAATTACTAATGGAATGACAGGACAGACAAAGGTAACAGTAAATGCCCCCGCCACAAATTAATCCATGTGCAAAATATGCTAAAAACACAACTTATATAACTCAGACTGAATTACAGCTAACAACCATGCATTGTGGTACATATTTTTGTGCCCATGCAGTTATCACACTTCTCAAAAGCAGTGCTGGCCATTTTTATTTTGCTTTGTTTTTTAACATGATCGATGAAGATCATCAGACATTTTTTCTCTTCTCTTTTCATGTTTATAAGTCCCCTTCAGTTTTTATGTACACAAGTTATCTTCGGTTGGTAAAATTACTAAAATTCTCGCAGTGGGACAAGCTATATATTGTCACACAGTGAAGAGGTATACATTTTAACCTGATGATCATGTGTGCCTAATGGTCAATTCACACCAGTGTATCAAAACTTTTGATTGCTATAAATAGATTTTTACATGCCACATTATATTACCTCTCTTATGTAAATATCTCTCTCCTCCATCTTTATTTGTAAATTGAATTAAATAAAGCAATAAATATTGTACACGAAAAATAAATGACATTTTTCATCATATTGCTACGTAGTGATGTATATCATAACAGCTCTTGTGATTGTTATGAATAAATAAAATGAAGGGTATTCCATCAATAAACAAACAAACAACACAAATGAATCAAAATAGACATTTATTACAACTGCATACAAAATACCATTGACTTATCATAAATGATTCCCTTTAAACAGACCTTAACACAAGCGTTAACATGTAAACTATGCAAAAGTTTCAAAGTAAATAGACCATGATAATGAGATATGCAAATACAACTGCAGACCTAAACAAATTAATACATTGTTCGCACCGCATCTGCATCAGAACGCCTAAGTCTCGCCTTTGTCACAACAAGATAAAAACAGAACTCACATATATAAATAATGATACATATCTACATGTACATAATTGAAATTGTATTTTTCCTTAGGATAAGTCATGTTCAAATTTGATCCCCCTTTGATACTACTTTAAAAATAAATTGCATTTATCTTCACCATTGATTGACTACATTCTGAATCAGTCTTCACAATAAACTTTGGAATCTAAAGGCCTGGGCGCGCCGAAGCTGAATTTTAAGAAAATTTTAATTAGATTATATTGGCCTGTGGAGATGATTTTTATAGGCTCGACAGTAGTTTTACAAGCCTAGGCTAGTGGGCCTGTGGTTGACCACTAAGACTGCATTTTGCAATATCTTATTTATTGGCAAATGTGGATCTCTCAAAATTCTTACAGGATTGTAATAACTCACTGTTCATCAGAAATTAGGGTCAATTAAAGTTAACATCTCTACATTAATTTTGAGCTGTGAATGCATCAAAAATAAAAATGCACATTTAAAATTTGTATAGCATTATAACAACAGAAATGGCAATAATTGAAATTTATCATGCATTTTTGTAAATTGTTCAACAATGCCAATAATAAATGCATGCACAAATTTCTGAATTTACAGTAATCATTATAACTGTATAATATTGAAATAAAATTTGACTCATCAGCAAGTAGTTACATGTATTCCAACTATTAAGATTAGTACATGTATTTTAAAATGTAATGTCACTTACTAAATATACTGTTATGTGTAACTCCTTTCTAGTCAAAGATTTACTGGATAATATTCGTTTTCTCTCCTAAATAATATTTTTCTTTAACCATGGTCAAACAAAAAATGAATTGAGTTTCAACAGCTTTTACAAAACCACTTTTCTTGACATTATCACATTTACATATCAGACCTATTACTTTGTAATAAATGTCCAGCATGTCCAGTATATACTCCAGGACAATTTTATTTATAACTTTGATATAATAATAAATATGTGACCAAAAGCGTGACAATGTTTGTAAATTGTCTAATTATAAAAATACTCTTAACTTAAAACATAACAGGATATAAATGTAAAGTACGAAAGTAAATAAACTGTTAACACAGAGATATGTCTCCCCTATTTGTTATTTTGATAATGCAAATGGTGAAATTAAAATAGCAATACTATAACATGTAAGTTATGCAAATATTCAAAGTCAATGAACCATGACTGAAGGTACAGGGCTAAACAATCTCCATGGAAATGAGATGTGCCAATGCTAATACAACTGCAAACCAAATACCATTGACTTTTCATAAGTCGTTCCCTTTAAACAAACCTAAACACAAACAGTAACTTGTAAACTGTGTAAAAGTTTCAAAGTCAATGAACCATAATTAGGGGGTGGGGTTATATAATCTCCATGGAAATGAAACTTGCAAATATCATTGACTTAACATTAGTGGTTCATCTTAAACTGACCTAATCACAAACTAATACATGTAAACTAAGCAAAGTTTCAAAGTCAATAGACCTTGACTGAGGGGTCTAGACCAAATAATCTCCATGGTAATGGGATGTGCCAATGCTAATACAACTGCATACCAAATACCATTGACCTACCACTAGTGGTTCACCATGAATTAGACCTAATCGCAAACTAATACATTGTTGACCCCGCCGCCGTCGCCTCCGGAAACAGCATACCTATGACTGAATGTCTCGCTTTTTGACTCCGTCAAGGCGAGACAAAAAGGATTAGGACATACAATCTGAGGTAAGAGAGGAATTTGAAGTTAACACATGCAAGAGGTTTAAAAAAGAAGATGAGGTATGATTGCCAATGAGACAACTCTCCACAAGAGACTAAATGACACAGAAATTAACAACTATAGGTCACCGTACGGCCTTCAACAATGAGCAAAGCCCATACCGCACAGTGAGCTATAAAAAGAACCGAAATAACAATGTAAAACAATTCAAACGAGAAAACTAACGGCCTAATTTATGAACGAAAAACAAATATGTAACACATAAACAAACGACAACCACTGAATTACAGGCTCCTGACTTGGGACAAGAGGGTCTGGATGGGGGGGGTCCTTAATTTCTGTATTTTTTTTTTATTGTTAGGGCATTTTTCTTACCTTTAAAAATAGTGCTTATTCTGTAAAATTCTCATGAAATAGTATTTGTATAAAAAAATTTCTGAGATTAGATGATATATTTTTTCTGTACATGGTTCATTTCATCGTCACTAGAAAAGGATTACGATCCATTTCCCTCCTCTCCACAGGAGAAAACTGGATGGTAACCCTAGGCTAGCAAAGATGGGTTCATTACTGTAAAAAGTATTTTATAACCTAATTCTTTTATTTTTGAGTTATTCTCTATTCTCTAACACCCAATTATTCTCTATAACTATTCTTTATATTTTTTGCTCATTTTTCTCTATTCATTATTTTTTTTTTTGCCATTATTCTCTATTCTGTCATTTGTCTGTAAACCCCATCCAGACCCTCATCATGCTCATGCACTTGTTTGAACTTTTTTCATGATTGATACTGTTTAAAAAAATTATTTTCCAAAACCGCATTCAGCTACCTATATATATATATATAATAAGAAAGTAATAATACATAATAACAAAGGGCTTCTTCAGGATGTATATTTAGATTTCCAGGAATAAATACCAGATATATCCCAGGTAGCTTAGCTATCACAAATGGTATTTTCATTAGTTTATTTGCAGTGAAATTTAAAACACTTAATATAAGATGCAGGTGTTATGTTACAGATTACTCATCAACAATTCAGCTGAATCATCAAAATAATCAATATTTCAATTTTCACTCCTTTCCTGGAAAAGATATTTAAAAAATAGCTTATGACACTTTAATGCATTCTTAACTTGCATTATTATTGATATTTATTTTTATATAAGATGTTAGGTATACATCAGTGAAACAGCAATCCAACAACAACAACAAGACACATCTGATGCTTCTGATATTAAGACCATAAGAATAAAACTCTTTGAATACAAAGTACATACAAGGGACAATTTGTAATCTCTTCAAAGAAGTGACCTACAGATGTGGACAAAGGATTTTAAAAAAGGGGGGGGGGGGGCCTGGCAAGCCAACGCTTGGAGTGATATTTGTTAAAAGTCAATGCATTATCATATACATGTATGAAGCTCCATAAGAGCGGACTTGGACCCATTGACCCATACCTACCCCCCACTTCCCCCAACCAGCAATCAGCCTCTCGTGACCTATAAGACATGTTGTGAAGTCTCCTTTCTGTAATACAAATACCTGAATACTGTGAAAGTATTATTATTCAATGATTCTAATTATGCTAATTCTACAGAACTATAGAAAAATTATTGTTTCACAGGTTTTCTAATTTGTGGTTTCATACAATCAAAATCTATAAAAAAAAAATAAATGGTTTATTTGGCCTTATAATCCTAGCTTTCTTAACCCTGAAATCAACAAGATCTGGTTCCCCTAAATCAAATTCTTTTGACAGTACTTAAGTACCAGTACTGCACAATTGTGACAATCATGACAATATCTGAATCAATAGCAAAATATAAAGTAAATATATAAGTATTTTAAACTTACCTCAAACTGTTATGTTATTTGACATCGAAAATTGTTCTTTACCTGTAAAACAGGAAAACAAGACAGGTAAACTTGTCACCTTTAATAGCTGTGGGAAACAGCTGATAGAAACCCACATGTTTTACATCAATGAATCATGTATGTAGTATCAAAGAAAAATAAAACATCTAATTTATCATTATTTAACAATTGTTTTGTAATTAACATAATCTACTAATTAAAAATGTAACATGCAAAATCAGAATTTAAGCTGTCAATCACTGACATGACTGATATTGTAAAATAGGTGTGTTATTTCATTAAAGGGTTTTATATACAAATGAAAAGTTATTGGTAATTTTTTGCTTTTTACTTTCATGACTTTATTCACTAGATTTGCTATTCAATTTACTATCACTGAGACAGCAACCCACATAAACAGGATGACAATAGTTATAGGATATCCTTATTGTACAACAATGAACACATGCCCACACAACATGCTTTGTTGTAAAAATAAACCTTAAGATAGGAATTAAAAATCAATTGTATTGATTGATTTATTGATTGTTGCTTGTTTAATGTCCAGTAGCAAATATTTCATGCATATTCAGGCAGGACACATGAAGAAATTAACAATTAATACTGTTACATAGTTATCCCCATTATTTGCAAATAGCACCATGGAACTTGAATAAGCACCATTTTCCTAATAAAGTAGCACCATGGGACTTAAATTAGCACTGTTTTCCTAATATAGTAGCACCATGGGACATGAATTAGCACCGTTTTCCTAATATAATTGTACCATGAGACATGAATTAGCACCATGGGATTAGAATTAGCACTGTTTTCCTAATATAGTAGCACCATGGGACATGAACTAGCACTGTTTTCCTAATATGATTGTACCATGAGGCATGAATTAGCACCATGGGATTTGAATTAGCACTGTTTTCCTAATATAATAGCACCATGGGACATGAATTAGCACTGTTTTCCTAATATAATTGTACCATGAGACATGAATTAGCACCATGAGACTTAAATTAGC